AAATTTCATGTTATGATAACGGTGTCTTCCCAAAAAGTTGTCAGAAGAAAATTCTATGTATTTAAAACAGGTCCATTTTGACACTGGAATGACCGCTTTTTTCCAAAATTATGCTTTTTTTTTTTGGTGTAACAAACTCAAAACCGTAGAGAACTCGAGATTTGGGGTAAGAAAGATGCTTCTGGCTAAATTTAAGTGAATAAATATTCTATGAGTACCCTAATAATGAAGAATATGGTGCCTAGAGTTGTTAGGGCTATTCCAAAAATAAAAAGATTTTGAGAGCTCTCATTGTGATATTCTTAACCAGCTCCTCTCAATCTACTATTACATCTGATTTTGACTTGTGAAAAAAAAAATTTTTTTTTTCATGATACCTGAGGGGGACCCCAGGCACAAAAATCATGAATATCGATTTTCGAGGAACAAAGTTGAAAAAAGTGATCAGAGACACTCGTACTTTCTTTAAGTCAGAAAACGCTCACGCTCATGAGCGCTCATATGAGCGTGAGCGACCACCGCTCACGCTCACGTGAGCGTGAGCGAAAAACCGCTCACGCTCACATGAGCGTGAGCGGAAAAACGCTCATATGAGCGCTCATAAGCGCTCATGAGCGTGAGCTGTACAGCCCTAGTCGGTACGACAGTGCGAACATGATAACAAGTGATGAAATATCATTGGAATGTCAATAAAATTAGCAACTGTGTGTAATAAAACGTTTGATAAATAATCATTAATGCACGAAATGTCACCCATAGGTTGAATTAAAGGTACGTATTCATTCGTGCTGCAAACATGCAATTTTGGACCATGTTTGACGAAGATCTTCCATATAATTACGTATCGTAAGTTTTTTTAATGGTTTTGTAGTCGGTAACTTCAAAATTTCACATAAATATTGAATTGTTTTTTGTTCAATGATTGGATAAAAAGACGACATTGCATCAGCACTTTCTTCTGTTTTAGCATCATTTATATTAATGGTATGATTATTATTCATAATCGCTGTTGCTGACATGAAAAATGTACGTTTGAGAAGAGCTTCAACTAAAAAGTTGTTTGACAAGATGAGTTGAATCGAAGAATTTAACCAGCATAACCGTTGTCCACTGACCATTGGATGAGGTTTATACTGAACTTTGTTCATTTCCCTAGAAACTATAAAAAATATACGTTTTATTCGTACTTTTTAACAAGTACTCTATCTTAATTATTGAACTTTAGAAAAAGTCATACTAATGTATGACTTAATATCATAGATATTGTTTACCTATGATAATATTTCTTTGTATTATCAGCACGCATTTTGTTTATATTAAACCAAGAGTTTATATAGTTATAACTTGTTCCTATCAGGTTATTTTTCTCGTTTCAGTGCAATACAATGTTTGGTGTAGTTCTTCTCTATAGTAAGCGTTTCTACGAGTTAGAAGGACCTATAGCAATTTAAAAGTTTTATCATGAATATCATCGATATGCTTCTACATAATTGACTATTTTTTTTATGTAATTCCTTTCATTTATTGCGAAACAACCATTGACGAAATTCATACTATTACTTATAAGCACTATTGGGGCAAATCATACATACTATTTTCTGTTAGAAATGATTTACCTTTTTTAGAAGTATTGAAAATTTATTGAAACAAGTTAACTATAAAAACAAGCGTACCTAAAGTTTGACCACGAGTGCTACTTTTAGTCTTAACAGCATTTTTTAGTTGAGCAACAATTGACACTTTTGGTTTTTCAGAATAAATACTGGTTGTAGGTGGTGGCGATGGACCACGTTTATTCCATGATTCTTCCGCCAATAGCTTTTTTGAACGTGCAGTTCTATTTTTCGTTAAATTAAGTGGATAATGATTTGAATAATTAATTTCTGTTTGTCGTATACTAGAACCAAGCATTTGAACAACTTGATCAATTCTTGACGACACTTCGCCGCGAAGAGCCGTATGTTTTATAACTTTTAATCGCGATTCTGACACACCAGTTGTTCTACTATTATGACAACCACAATGTTTAATTCTTGTAGTAGTTCGATAGCCATAACGTGACAAGCTTCCCATCATTAGATTGCTCCAAATTGGTGCTATAGGTAAATACAAGGAAAGAATACGTTTTAAATAAGCGGGACTATAATATGGATTCTCCATATATTTCTTAAAATTTTCATTTGAAAATGAATCACAAATCTTCTCTTGGTCATTATATATCTGGGTAAAGTAATCACGAAATGGGCTTTCACTTTCATCGGAAGCAACTTGTTCACTGAGTCCGATTTCGATTTCATCTTCATCAACTGTTTCAGCCAGAATCTAAATCAAAATAAAATTAATATTTTATTTTTCTATGTAAATGATAAGTTCTATGTACATATAATAATAGAAATAAAATAAGCAAAAATATTTGTAGTGTTGTTTTTTTCTGTTACAGTAAATAATATCGTATAGCATGAGGCAATCTAATATTGTCAAATTATATTCTCATCATACCTCATCAAACATTGTTGAATATTGACATTCACCTTTTGAATCGACTTTAACATTTCTAACAATAAAATTATCCTTGTCAGGATCCTTGTTTATATTATCTGCTGCAGTTGATAAGCAAGAAATAGATAACGAATATGATGTATTTTGTATTGGACTAAGAAGAACAATGCATATATGTTCCCAAATACCGCACATTTCTTCTAATGTATTTGAATTGACTAATAGTGATATGATCCATAGAGCGAATGGTACCTAAAATAAATATGTACATGGGCATACATAATTTTCATAAATTATAATACCTTTTGATTCGAAAAGTACTGAAGAGCTTGACGTTTTACACTTTTGGAGAAATGTGACAAACATGAATGAACAATAGTTTTTGATAGATCTTCATTTGTTGCTGTTCGATTTACGATGGCCCAACTACGTTTTAAATATGAACTAATTGTTGTATCACCATTAAAAAATCGCATTGCAGCCATTTGAAAGACTAACGCTCCGTCTGAATGAACGATGGGTGGTTTCGGAAAAGGAAATTTGAATCCGTATAATTTTCGATACGCTGCTTCAAATTCTTGTAACCATTGAACAAGATCCATTGTTGTATGTGTTGTAGATAACATTGAAGTGACAGGAAAAGAAGGTCCTGACAAGTTTTTTGTCGTTACAGATTTAGTGGCAATATTAGTAATAGTTAGTTCATAGTAAAACACACGCTTTCCTTTATTCATGACTATTCCTCCAGTTGCATCCCACGATACAGGCACATTGTTTCCTACTTGGTTCCATAAAACGAGACTTCCCTCAGTAAAGAGAGCAAGACGTAGTGGACTGATCGTTATTGTTTGTAAATATCCTGGAATTAATTTTCCTGCATTTATTTCTTTTGCTTGTTCTTCTTTAATCCTTTCCAAACTGATTGTCAAGTCTTTATCAAGCATTAAAGATGTTTTTGCTTGGCTACGAATCTTTCTAAAAACATGAGGACTAGAACCTATTGAATTATAGTTACCGAATTTCCGATTATTATCTGTTAAATTGCCAAGTCTTTTAAGTCGCAATTGATCAGGACTAACTCAATTTATTAAAGTTTCTGCTATAGAACGACGATAAATTCCACGAATCGGACGAGCTCTTTGTTCTGATGGACTATGAACTATATGTCCCTTAAAATTTATTATGAGTTCACCATTACTCAGTACAACAGCATGGAAGGAACATGTACACGCTGAAAATTTACATTTAGCATCAGCACTGATGATAAATTGTTTATTAGTTGGTGGTTTATTAGATTTCGCAGTGGAAAAATGATGGTCTTGATACATAAATACACAACTATCATTTACTTTTGAGATATATTTTTCAAATAATCTAATCCACTCAGTATCACGTTTACGTGTAGAAGATGATTCTAAATTAATAACATTCGTCTTTGATTTAGATTCGACAAGTAATTTATTAAAATAATCTAGATCTGTTTTATCGATTTCTAATAAAACTGGTTGAGACGGAATTGCAGCCGTATACCGTCCATCAACTGTTGGACGATCAAGCAGAGTATCGATAAGATGCCGATGTTCAACTGGCAATGACGTTGCACCATGTTCAGCTATATTATGTACAGGGTGGTAAATAATATTATTCCAGGGGGGTAACACTATGATCTCGAATCGGAGATATCATGAATTTTATACCAAATGAAAGCTCGTGAAAAATGGGGTTTAGTGATAGTAAATAGTAAGACTTTGAAGAACTTTCTTGTATTAATTTATCAAACGTTACGATTTTTATCGACATAAAATATTATAAAATCAGTTCATCGAAAAAGTTCGGGGCTAAACTATATGTTGTACAACTGTTTATTTTCTTATTATTTATTGAGTACAATCAATAATCAGTATGACGACCATTAGCACTCTTTACTGCACGAAGTCGAGATGGATACGAACATAAAAGAGCTTCAAACAATTCGGTATTTTCTTCCATGTCCGTCAAAACATCCGCAATGTGCTTTTTAAGTGTGTCTTCACTATATCGATTATGTCCAGTTTCCGATAACATTTTTTGTTCAACTTCATCTTTCATTATTGATCCAATATGTTCCGCCGCATTGAGATCGGGCGAATTACCAGGCCAAATATCATTGCCCCAAACTCGATTTTGTTATCTCTAATCAGATGTTGAGTCATGTTTGCTCGCATACACGGTGCTTTATCGTGAACAAATATCACATTATCCAGATCAATTACGTTTTCCTCGTCGGTGAGGAATGGAAATACGTGTTGCATTAAAATAATGTCACGAAAATATTGACCGGTCCAAGATTCACCTTTGTCTTTAATCACCCAATGCATTTTTTTCGCGGTGAAAATGATAAAAATACCGATACACGCTTGGTTTTTAACCATTTCGCGATACCTTTCATCGTCTTCAATATCTTCAACACTTTTTGCCCAAATCCTATCATTTTGATAATTTGGTTTGCGAACTGTCCAAACATAAAATTCATCTGATGGTGCCAGATGAAGAAAATCTTCTTCAGTCCAATCTTTCAACCAATCACAGAGCCATAATCGATCTGATATATGAGTTTCAGATTTTAACGGTCTTGAAATAACATGAAAAGGCTTTAATCCTTCCCTACGACGGTAGTTATTAACTGTTTGTCGAGTAACATATTCTTTTTGTTTCTTTGCAATCTCTTTCGCCACGACAGAACCGCTTTTCCGTTGGTGACCACTTGCTTCACGAATAATGTCCTGAGCAGCTCTCGATAACTTGAGTTTAGGACCAGCATTCGAATAATCAGCAAAACATTGGTCACACGATTTTTCCCACCATTCTGTAACAAATCGAGTCGTACGGTGAATTTTGTCGGCAATCCATTGTCTATTTATAAATGTTGCACCAGCATCACGAGCTTCTCGGAAAGTAATGCATTTAATTCTATCAATCATTCTTTGTTGTTCGGTATCATAAGCGCCAGCCATTTGAAATAACAAACGAAAAAACACTGAGATTTCACTCGACTATAACTTTCAGACAGTCCGAGAACGAAAAAATTTTTCAAATAACTAGTATCACGTGGAGAGAAGAACAGAACGCCAAAGAACCATCTTATTGTGTGAGTCATAGTCATATATCATCATCGTTATCATTTCTCTTTCGTTTTCATAAAAAATGTTCGTTTTCAATGTCTCAAAATGTATGAAAAATGATTTTTAACGTGTTTTTGAAAGAAAATTTCGTTGTTTTTAAAAATTTGGTACACGAAAGTTCTTCAAAGTCTTACTATTTACTATCACTAAACCCCATTTTTCACGGGCTTTCATTTGGTATAAAATTCATGATATCTCCGATTCGAGATCATACTGTTACCCCCCTGGAATAATATTATTTACCACCCTGTACATATTGTTCACCACAATCAAGTACATTTTCTAAACACTGTTCACCACATTTATTATTTTCATATATTTGTTGTTTATCTTCGTATTCCATCTTAACAAAAATAGTTTTATTAATCGTCAGTCACAACATGATCAACTTACATCTGGACCAAACATCTGAGCAAAGTTATCTATATCATGTTGACTATACTTTTTCACCTAGAAATATAAGATGAAATCATTCAATAAAATATACGGTCATTAAAACAAGTTGTAGCGCTATAAACTCCATCTACATTTAACCAAAAATATACTATTTTGAACTATTCAACTCTATTAATAAAAATTAACTATGTAATTACTTTCGAATATTCATACGTCGTTGCATCGCCAAGTTCTGGAAATAAAGTCAGTTCATCAGATGAAATGTGATTTTCAACATTTTGTGACTGACACCAGCCTGTTATATCTTCTTGCATGTTCTAGTAAAAGAATTTCAAATAAAGCTATGAATTGTAAAAGCTATTTATAAACAATATTATGCATTGTACGTCTCTGCATATTTCAAATTCGTTCACATGTCTATATATGTTATGCGTACATAAACCGGCTGCACAATTTTTTCAATGATCTTAAAAGTTACAATCGAACTCAATGATAATAGAATGTAGTAGTCTATACATCTACATATACATACCGTGTCATAGGTAGTCAGGATTGGAGACTCTGAATGAACGTTTTTGGTTGATGAATCAGTTTTTAATACAGCTGTCAAACCTAATGTAACGTTCAATGCTTTTTTTGAACTGATTGAAGTTTGATTCTTAATAGGACTGATCTAAAACATACAAGTGAACCTATATCTTTATGAATTCATACTAAATATTAGACTCACTTCCATTTTATTGATATCTGTTTCGATATCATTGGCCCAAATATCATTTACATCGATAATATTATTCAAAGTACTTTTACATCGTTCTTCTGTACATGCAAGAAGATATATGTTAATAGACAGATTATATATAGATTTTCAGATTTACCTGTTGGTGAACCAGCAGAAGCATGGTGCTCTATACTATTAAAATAAAATCAGAATATAATTCTTGTTATTCTTAGAAATTTCGTATAAAGAGCAATTGGAGATAATCTTAACCAATTATTCATAAAATAATTTAAACATGAAATAATCCATGAAGTTTTACATACTTATTGATTATTGAATAACTATTTTAACAGAATATAGTATAATGTTTTGTTTTTGAATTCAATTCATGAGAGTTTACGAGAATAATACTAACGAATTTTAAGTATTTTATTGCGTGAATGTTACGAGATCATGTTATCCTACATTAGATAGTGATAATATAATTGATCAATAAATGAGATAAATATTAAAAATTTCATGGATTATCAAATGATAGAATGTTTCGACATTGCATACATTATTTACAAAAAATAATGTAAAACAATGTCCATTATTTTGCATTATTGGCTACATGGAACATCAACGATATGCATGACAATACTATTAATATTTATAAGTATTTTAAAAAATCGACTACATGACTTACATCGGTAGTGTATCAAGTACAACAGCGTCTTCATTAAGGACAGTATTTGATATGGTTCTTTCGAGGCAAAGTAAAATACAATATAATGAGTTATAGAAATTCTTGAAGCTAATTCATTACATACTTTCGTACTTCTTCTGCAACTTGCCACATGTCTGTTTGCCAAATATGAGCCAGCCACTTCTTATTTTTCTCGTTGTCTTTTAGCTTCAACTCTTTACACATTATACTCCATACTGATGGAGCATTTCCTGATAACTTCGTAGACCATGTTGTAGTATCAAGTGCTTCTATTTGGGCTTTTGTTAGTGTACTAAAAGCTTGTGCTAGTTTTTGTGCTCCAACAGATCTTTTAGGTGGTCTTCCACGTTTGATATAGGCAGAGATTTTCTGTAAAAATGAATAGAATGATTTTTCTTTCCCAAGATCAATCAATGAATTTTATTTACTGTAGAAGAATTCTGTACCAATTGTGAATCTATAACTTATTTCAATGAATTAAAATAAGACTTTCTATCTGTTGTCTATTCATCTTACCTATCGGAATATTTTCAAGACCATCTGGCTGTGCATTAACTACCCCGCGATCGTCACTAAGAATATTCATGTATACAATTCGATATGTTATAAAGAATTATGTCGGAATCTACCTTTCATTATGATTATGATTATTATGATTATTACTATTACTATTATTATTATCATTATCATTATAATAAACATTTTGTTTCGAGGGTTACACTCCTGCATCTGTTTTCAATAAAGTAAATATTAGTTCAACAACTTATTCTTATAATTTATCAAACTCACGGAGTGAACGACACACATTACGAATATGTTGATCCGATAGATCGTCGAACGTTATGTTTCTTGTTACTGGTTCATCAACTCGTCTTAGTTTAAAAAGAGGAGAAGATAGCCCACATGGCATTTGATTAACGCTTGTTATCATCAGGTTTTTGTCACGATAGCTGCTATTATTACTTGTAGCTTTATAAGGAGAAAATATTATATCGAATTCAGTTGATGGATCAACTGCAATAAAAAAGATATAACTTATGTTCAAACATTTATTCAAATGATTCACTTTCACTCCGAATGATCGAATGTTCTTTTTCCATTTGGGTCTTGTTCAGATTCTTGTCTTGCTCGATATTTTGGTGTCGTCGATGTTAAAAAGAAATTTGCTTCTAAAATTTGCCGTAAAAATTATTGAAACGGTTTGTTTCTTTTTACAAATTATTGATGAAGTGGAACAAACTGATGGGATCAATCTTATTTTGGTAATCTCAATAATATGCATCGAATTCAGAGACAAGTAACAATAGATAAGAATAAGAACGAAGTATTCTTTATAATTGATTGTTCCATAAATGTCAGACACCTCCATAACATATCATGTTTAATATATTCACAGTTAGCAACGAAAACGAAGATTATTTATTGCAATGTAGCACATGCTTTGAAAAATGAATATTGAATTAGCTGTCATCCTGTTCCTATCTTTCGATAAAAAGAAACAAGCGTGGTTTATTGAAACATAAAAACAAAACGTTGTCACACATGCCCATTGTGCTTCAGACCGAACCGCCACCTCTCTCTCGTTTTTCTTCAC